GGTCTGACACGGACAGCAACATTCCCCTCTGCTCCTGGAGGCAGGATGTTGCCCTCATCATCCACAATCTGGCAGAGAGATCACAGGACAGTATCTGATGCCCGCACAGCCAGGCCACCCTGGCAGCCAAGCCTGGTGTTGCTAACCTGGACGTGGATTTTGCTCTCCTCTTCGAACCAAGCCTCACCAACAGCTGGGCAAGGCTGCCTACCTGCACGTCGTAAGGTGGGGATGCTTTCCCCATAGATCCTGACTTGATTTTCGTGCCTTTTGGATTGGCACAGATTACAACCTGGAGAGAAACCAGTATCAGTAAGGAGGGGATTTATCCCCTTAGTTTCCTTCCTGGTCTATGCCTTTTCTCTCACTCAGCCTTCCAACTCTTTCTCCCTCCCTTTCTTCCACTACCCTCTTTTCCTTTCTTCCCTTCCTTTCTCCTTCCCTCCCTCCCTTCCTGTCTTTCTTTCTCTCTTTCTTTCTTCTTTCTTCTTTTTCCCTCTTCCTTCCTCCCTTCTCCCCTTCCTTCCTCCTCATCTTCTTTTCTTTCTTCTCTTCTTTCCATAATCATCAAACATGTATTGAACACTCTAGTGGGCACTCACACACAAAGAACTTAACGTGTCTCACAAAAGACTCAGCTGATGGCCAAATCTCTGCCCAGATGGCTGTAGAGAATACTGTTTAAGATCGTGGGCTCTGAATGCAGACAGACACGGGCTGTCCTGGTGGAGGCAAACACCACCCACAGCCGTGAGAGTTAGTTTGCTGGTGGCGTCATTGTGAAACTGCCTTTACACAATAAGGGAAGAGAAGCTGATGGAGATTTGTTATCAGTTTCTCCCTGCAGGCAGGGCAGTTCCTGACAGGTGTCACAGAGAGGACAGCTAGAAAGGCAGGAGGCTCTGCCACTGGCTGGCTGAGAGCTTGGGTGGAGGTGACCTGGGACAGGGACCCCAGCCCCAGTAGAACTCACTGTCTCAGACTGGCCGTAACCTTCATGCAGCTCCAGGCCCGTCTGGCTCTTCCATTTCTCCCTCACATCAGGATTCAGGGCCTCTCCTCCAGTCAAACAATGCCTCAGGCTTTGGAACTGGTACCTTTCTCCGCCAAGAACACAAGGCCATCTATGTCAGGATCCCCCTCCCCACCTCGCCCTCCAGCACTGCTGCCCAGGTCCAGATACCGAGAGGCACTAGAGAGTAAACTCCTGGGTTCTATGATCTGCTCCAAGAGCCCCATCCTCTGGCTTGCAGGCGTGTTCCTCATGGACAGGCAATTTTATTAAAATCAGTCCTGAGTTTAGAACTAAATCAGAACCTCATGTAGTAGGTTTTGGCATAATGTGCTGAATTCCAGGTGAATTGGCCAAAATAATCTAGTTGGAAACAAATTGATTGATAATAAAT